GAGTGAACAGGGAGTACAGGAGGGGACTGAGCACGCATCCCTGATGGGCCCCCGTGTTGAGGATCAGCATGGCAGATGTGTTGTTACCTACCCTTACCACCTGGGGGCGGACCGTCGGGAAGTCCAGGATCCAATGGCAGAGGGAGGTGTTTAGTCCCAGGGTCCTTAGCTTAGTGATGAGCTTTGAGGGCACTATGGTGTTGAACGCTGAGCTGTAGTCAATGAATAGCATTCTCACATAGGTGTTCCTTTTGTTCAGGTGTGAAAGGGGTATATTCAAGTGTCCTTTCAACCTTTCCAAAGTGTCCAATTGTGGTAATTGCACTGTTTTTGCACACTGGATGTGCCTAAAAGTTATTACTCAATATAAAAACTAAATTTCTACAACCCCAACCTCTCTCAAACATTGTGGTGGTGTTGGGGGACATACTGGGGATATCCAAGTGTTTTTTCAACCTCTCCAAAGTGCCTGAACGTTTAGCCTAGGCATATCCAATGTATTGGTCCCACATACAAATGAACTGTTTACAAAAACAATATAAAAGCAACAGATATACATTAAAAAATATAAAAATGTCTTATCAAACACAAACTTGGTTATACACATCTCCTTCACTAAAAAAGTGCAAAAATAGAAATAAGCTGAACTATTTACAAATGGCATTCGTGTTCGTTTTACATCCCAGGTGTAGATGATTAGATTTCGCTTTCACCGTAGCTTGTGCATAATATAATATAATATGCCATTTAGCAGACGCTTTTATCCAAAGCGACTTACAGTCATGTGTGCATACATTTTTACGTATGGGTGGTCCCGGGGATCGAACCCACTACCCTGGTGTTACAAGCGCCATGCTCTACCAATTGAGCTACAGAGGACCACATGTCGTGATAGTCTTTGAAGCAGTCCCTCTCTGCCAGGAAACAAAAAGCGAACTGGCATTTCACCCCTTTCCCCCCCGTATTTTGTGCAATGCTTGCAGTTCTTCCTTTTGTCTTTTTGCATGTGTGTTGGATAGTGGCACTCACCTTGAGTGAGGGGTCTTGTGATGGTTGTGAGGTTGCTTTGGGCCCCCAATTCAGCCATTTCCAACAACAGCTGCTCTCGGAAGGCCAACTGGGAGAGAGGGGTTTGACCTTTTGCTTTGGCCATCTGCTTGTGGAGCATGAAAGCATTTACTGTAGCAATGTCTACAAAGTGGTAAAAATAAGTCTTATACCACTTCCTGGTCTTGTGGAGAACCTGGTAGTAGCCTACCAGAGCATCAGATAGGTCGACACTCCCATGCTGGCATTGTAGTCCTTCACAGAAACGGAGACACCCATGTCCCATTGACATTTTCACCCTCCTTGAGACATGGTCGTTATTGAATGCCTTATGCTGTGTGGTGAGCATGGTTTCTTCCTTAGTGTCCTTCCATTTCACAAAAAGAAGCTTGTTAGTCCTGATCCAACGTATGGTTGTCTTTGTTATGTCGTTTACCTTGGTCTTGGGGAAACCGATTCTGTTAGGTCGAATGGTGCCACAAGACCCTATTTTATTTTTCAAGAGGTCTATGACAGTGGATGTAGAACAATCAGATGGGTTGATTGAAACTGCAGTTGGGGTGGTTGAAGAGGAGTGGGGCCTTTGTCGAGTGGTGGATGTAGAACCATCAGACGGGGTGATTGACATAGCAGTGGGGGTGAAGACCTTGACCGGCGGGGGAGCTTGCTGGGGAGGGGTGGCTCCCAAACATCATCATCCAAATCCTCTGCGGTGAATAAAATAAAGGGATATATTGTTGTAAGACACACAAAATGACAGTTGACTCAATTTACAAAACGACAATACTGTAAAGTAAAAACACCAAGCCTAAACTTTATCTGTATAGTGACTCACATAGGTGTGAAGCACACACACAATGCAAACAGTAACACTTTGGAGACAAAGGCAGAGGTGAGAACCACAAATAAGCAATGGCCATGAGAGTTTAGTGGCCTCTCCAAAGTTACAAGGATGAAACTTAGAACAGCAAACAGTGAACTAATATGAAACGTAGACAATAACATTTTAATTACTTGTTACATAGGCCTATGTAAACTAAATCCAAAGCACAAAAAGCAGACATCTTATAAAAAACGAAATACATATCGTAAATTAGCTGTATAAAGTCATGAAAATAATTTACTTACAGATCTAAAAGTGGATCCAATCCTTCTGGAAAGCAATCTTCGTCTGCCGAGTCAAAATCCTTGTTGTCCAAATCGCTCCCGATACGTGTCCGACTCCAGTATTTTATTCAAAGCTTTTATGTCGGTGTACTTATTCGTAGCTGCTTTCTTTTTAGGTTCCTGTTCGATATTCTTCGTTTTTACATTTTTCTTTTCTTTTTTTCTTGAGAAGCCATCTTTTATGCTAAAGTTATGAAATTAAATCGATGAAATCTGTTTACAATGTAATGTAGCGTGCTCGGTGCGTCTCGTCTCTGAGCCAGGTAGCAATAATTTGCAGTATGCATAAAAGGTTCTAGGCCTTGCTTAGTCCCACCCAGGTCAACTGCATATCCCTGGAAAGCTTATCTCATTGGCTACATGACTGTCAAGGTGCCATAGTAGCCAATCCCCTGTGTAATGGCTGCCTACAACGCGTAAGCAGGCGTCATCATATTTTTTATGCGCGAAGATATAGTCACTCGGTGGACATTCGATGTTGCCATGAAGTCATATATCATCAGATAACATTGGCAATAGGCTAGATTTGTTCCTACCAACCTAAGGATGAATTTGATAACCCTCATGTAGCTCAAACACAGACCAAATCGAAGCATACCTTGTAAGATGTTTGCTTTTTGGTGAAAACGTTGTGTAAAATAAACATTTTGACTCTTGGGGCTGGTGATCAATAACGGTAGGTCACAGGCAGACAAATAAGACATCCTCATGATCTGTGGAGTCCCGGCTTTCGGTGTGTATCAACGTATTCCCTGTTTATTTTGTGTATGCTTCACAACGCTAACCGGAATGTAGGTAGAAGCCATCTTGAAATGAGGTCATCGGCTCAGCCTGCCCTTGTAAGTTCATATGCCCATTTATGGTAGTAAATCACACCAAAGCTTTTAAGGCACCGATCAAAAGCCAAGATATTCAGCTTTCCGCAGACACCCTGCTTTTGCAGATATGGGCAACCGTTCACATACCAGACTGAATTGAATAAAAAAAATCTAATAGGGTCCGCAAATATGGGGACTTTACATTTAAGAGGTTGCAAACCAGACCACACGAAGATTAGTTTAAAAAAAAAATATTACGGACAGACAGGGCTCACTCCAACACTCAGACATCATTTACAAATGCAGTATTTGTGTTCAGTGAGTAGGCCAGATCAGAGCCAGTAGGGTTGACAACGCGTTATTTTACAGTGTGGTCTGAAATTATTGACACCCTTGATAAAGATGAGCAATAATGACTGTATAAAATAGATAATTCAAATACTGAGCTATATTCTAGCACGCAATGACTACATCAAGCTTGTGACTCTACAAACTTGTTGGATGCATTTGCAGTTAGTTTTGGTAGTGTTTCAGATTATTTTGTCGCCAATAGAAATGAATGGTAAATAATGTTGTGTCATTTTTTAGTCACTTTTATTATAAATAAGAATAGAATGTTTCTAAACACTTCTACATTAATGTGGATGCTACCATGATTACGGATAATTCTGAATGAATCGTGAATAATGATGAGTGAGAAAGTTACAGAGGATCAAAGATCATACCCCCAAGATTACAGATGGTCAAAGATCATACTCCCAAGACATGCTAACCTCTCACCATTACCAATAACATGGGAGGTTAGCATGTCTTGGGGGTATGATCTTTGACCCTAAAAAGTACATATTTTCTTTAGGAATGTAGTATTGTAAAAGTAAAAGTTGTAAAAAAGATAAATAGTAAAGTAAACTACAGATACCCCAAAAAACTACTTACAACTGCTGATAAGGTACTTGCTAAGGGAATGGCACACCTTTTCCATAGGAAGTTCCCACACCTATACACACAAACTCACAAGTGCACACACAGGACTGTGTACACAGCAATGCCCCATTACTTACTGCTCAAAATAACCAGGATGTTTTCAAGTGGGGCATACAATGTCAATTCATTTCTGATTCTAAAATCTATTAATGTTTTTATACATGTTTTGGGAACCAAGCAGATCTGCAGTCTGAGGTCTAAAATACTGTGGTAAGAACTATTTGTACTCAATAAGGAAGTTGTTGAACATAGGAAAGATTTTTGTTAATGAACACATATTTTTGCCACATAGTTATACTGACAGATCATTGTTCACCTAGTAGGCACAACATTGACTTTAAAAGGATATTACCACATATTGCTCAGAATTGATAAGCAAATTACACTTGAATTTTGATGAGAGAAACCTGTTTGTAGAAAATAAATATGTACCTTCACACTGTTGAACGCTCTCCTATACTTTATTGCTTGCAATGTTTCGACCGGAACACATATCAAACATGTTTACTTCCCTAAGTCAGTCGATATCACATACAGTATCTCAGAATGCAAACTCAGCATTGGATAGGCCTAATATTGAGCTGGGAAGTGGTCTCGACTGTAAGATAATTTTTTATAGATAATCTTGATTTCCACATCAACATGAAAAGTGTCTCTACAACCCCACTGCAACTTCTGATTTTGTGAGACACTACTGCAGTGATCTGACCAGTGACTTTTTAAAAACATTTTAGTCATTTAGCAGACGCTCTTATCCAGAGCGACTTATAGTTAGTGAGTGCATACATTTTTCATACTGGCCCCCCCGTGGGAAACGAACCCACAACCCTGGCGTTGCAAGCGCCATGCTCTACCAACTGAGCTGCAGTAGGCCTATTGTGATATGAAGCTTCAGCTTTGTCCAACCATTGAAGGTACTCAGCAGCTAATATGATCATATTGACACCATCATTTGTTTTTTAATAATTGTTTTATTTCTCAGAAATGTATAAACTCAAGTTGCATCACGGCAGGGGTAACTTAACAACAGAAACTATGATTACAACATGATTGTGTATCATGGATGATGATAATAAGAGCAATCACATTGATCAGGATTATACCATTTGAAAACTACACTCCCTTACCTACTTTAGACTTCAAGGCTAGCCAGCCACACTGGCTGTAAGTCAAATCTCCAGATCGATAGAGTGGATCACTTAACAGGCAGCTGCAGAAGATGGTTCCTTTGGGAATTCTTGCCAGGAAGAACTTCCAATAATCTCCTCCTGGGCTCCAGTATCTCTAAACAATTCTGATCCCCTGGTAAAACAGACAGAGAGGATCAGTCAGTCCAGGGCTCGGTTTTGTCAAATACATCTGAATTATTTTGTTCTTGTAATATCAAGATAATATTCACTATAAATGTGAACAAAACATTGAAATCCTCTCTAATACCTGATTATCTAATGATAGATATTCTGAGACGTAACTTTTTGACACCTGTAGTGGTTTACCTTGAACTAAATATGCTCTTATTGTTTTTTCTTCTTGGTTTTGATTAGGGGCCGGACGAAGGCTGAAGGGACCAGAGCATGACACAGTGGATGATTCAGTGAGTGGATCTACTGATATGAAAAACCTATTGCTTGCATGTGTGGACATCATGTAAATACTAAAGACTATGGGAAAGGGATTAATTTAAATGTTAAATTAATCCCCATATAGCAACAAAATGAACTTACTTTTTATAACTATACATATTTCTGTTCCAGATATGTGAAGAGCCATCTGAATTTATAGAGGGGGAGAGACCTCGCCCACAAGGATCCTCCCCTGTAGATGAATACCCTGAAACAGACAAATACACTGACATTGATAAACAGGTACAATACTTTATATTTCATCCAACCATGTTGACTTGTAGTTAGAATTTTGTCAGACCGTCTGATTTCTTTAACATTCATTTTAGGGTGGAGGTGGGAGTGGCAAGAAAGGAAAGAGGGGTTTTGGGTCCCTGTTTGAAAAGCGCTCCCCTGCCAAGATGAGTAAACTGGAGGTCAGATATGTCTGCATTATCTTGAACTCATGCAGAAGCATTGCTTCAGGTTGTCATTGGTGGTACATAACATTTGGTGGTACATAACATTTGGTGGTACATAACATTTTTACCTTTTTTTCTTTATTTCTTTTTTCCTGTAAACTCAGAGACCAGAGTCGGGAGTGATTGTAAAAATGGCAAAAGAGACATGTGCTGAGGGTCTTGTTTTGAGCGGAGGAGGGAAAGAGGGAATCTTCATCAAGGAAGTGAGGCCAGAGTCACCAGCCTCAAAGCTTCTTAGTGTGCATGAGGGTAAGCAGACAACTAGCTCATTCCATGCTCTTTCAGAAGCTGCAAAAAAAGAAAAAAGCCTTTAGAGTCTATAGTCAAGAGTCTATAGTATAGACAAAAAAAATAATCTGAAAGAAATGGACATAATGGTGAAATGTGGAGTGAAATGGGTGAAATGTGGAGCCAAGATTGTTTTTGCTATCCAGGGTAAGAGACTCTTTGATATGATACAATATGCTAGTTCTACAGTTCAAATGGTGATTATTTTGGACTTTCTATGTCTTCCTTCTGTTCATTCAGGTGATCAGATACTCAGTGCCACAGTGTATTTTGACGATGTTAAATATGAAGATGCCCTTCAGATATTGGAACATGCCCAGCCTTACAAGATGGAGTTACTTCTGAAACGCAAACCAATAAAGACATCCACCCTTGAGAGTGAACCAGCCCTTGAATTCACCCAAGTAACTATCACTATGTTATTTTTCTGGATCTGTAGATTAGTGTTATGGCTTTGGCTCTTTTTCTCATAAAGCAATCAATCAACATTTCACTTTTTTTTATCCTACAGGTGGAAGAAGGTTCCTCTCTGGAAATGAGGGGACATTCAAAGCCAAAAAGGCACGGTGACCGAATCTCTTGGCCCAAGTTCCCCTCCTTCAGCAAAAGTCGAAAGTCCCATTTTAAGAGGTCTCACAGTACCTCAGATGCAGATGATCAGAGGAAGCTGGAGTTGAGCCCAACAACAAGTGACACAGAGTCGCCAATCAAATCTCAGGAGGCTGTCAAGGGCAGGACAAAGAAGCATAAGATAAAGTTATCAAGTGTAAAGATGAAGGGCCGCAAGAGCAGGTCTGTTGAACAGCCTGACCAGGACACAGACATACTAACTGTAGAATGTGTGCAAGTTATGGAAATCCAACAGAGTCAAGATGACATATACTCACCGGATGGTCTAGAGAGCACATCAGGAGAAACACCTCAAGTATATGTGTTAGAATCAGAATCAGAAAAAATGGAATCCACCAAGATAAAAAATGAATGCACTCTTCCAGACCTGACAGGCTCGGAAACCAAAAAGCACAAGGTAGAACTCATCAGATTGGACAAAACTTTGAAAACCACAGATTTAACAGTTGCTTTTGCTGATCAAGAAAGTCCCTCAACCAAGAAATCTCCAGAGGGAAAGAAAATGAAGAAAGAGAATAAAGAGAGGTCAGAACTAAAGTTTAGATTCAAGGGAAATGAGAAAAAAGACAAACACAAGCAAGACATACCTGTAAAATCATCCCCAAAAAGCACGAAGACACCAGGAGCATTTATCATAACATCTGATCTGTCTGCACATGACAATACATTGCTGAGTCCAACTGTAGTATCACATACTAAGCTGAAGGAGCGTCAACTCCCAATTGACATCAACACTCGATTAATCTGCAATGAGAGCTCAGGGAAAACCCTACCCTCCACTGATATGGAAATGAGCATCCCAAAAGTAGCTATCTCCCTTGACATGTCAGATATAGGACTTATCAGGAAATCCCCTCAGATTGGACAAGAACAAGACTTGAAAGAAACATATGTTAAAACAAATTTGAATGCACAGGAAATGCTTGCTAAGGTCACCAGTTTTACAATGGAACCTGACTTGCAGATGGAAATACAGGCTTTAAAGTTACCTACAGAGACAAGCATTGATGACGTTTTAGTACAAATTGGTACAAGGACTGCTACCAAGTTCAAACTGCCAAGGATGGACCATGCTGACTTTGTTACTGACAAACCTATAAAAATGACAGACGTGAAGATTGTAGAAATGGATGTGAAAAGCCTTACAGTTGAGGATAAGGGGTTTAAGATACTTCCAAACCGTGATGATATTGAGATCCCAGGCATGGAAGATGCATCGTCAACTGGCACCAAAACCCCAGTGATCAAACAGCCTAAAACAGCATTCACTCTTCCTGTTGAAGAAATTCAGGCGCAGACTGTTCAGATGGTTATAGACGTTGACAGAGTTAAAGAGGCTGTCTCCAAATTGCCAGGGTTCAAGCTGCCGAAGGGTGACATTGCAGGACTGCCTGCTCATCAAGAAATCACAAAGACATATGTGAATGCAGAAAGAGTAAATGTGACAGTAGATGCCACCCTATCTAAAATCACAGACATAAAGGCACAGTTGGACACGTACGTCAAAAAGACTGACATAAATGCTTCAACTGAAAAGTTGAGCATGAGCTCAGTTACCACAATCAAATTGCCAAAGAACCAACTTTCTGATCTAGGTGCTCATGAACCTATTACTATGACAGAAATAGACCATACAAAAACAAAAGAGGAAGCTGGAAGGACCAATGAGGTTGAAATCAAAATTGAACTCCATAAACGAGAGGACGTAGAGATACCTGGAATGGAAACGATTCAACAAAAAGGATCTCCCAACCAAGTGGAAAATAAAAAAGAGACTGGTAAAATTCTGGAGCCTAAGTTGGCAGGACCAGTACCTGAGTGGCCAACCATCACAGCTGAGGAGAAAAGTGTTATTCCTTACACTAAAGGATTAGATAAGAAGTCAAAGAAAGCAAAGACGTCAATGCCTGGGTTTGGAAAAACACAACTGGATATTAGATTGCAAGACATTGGGATTGGACTACCAAAAAGAGACACCTCTGCGCAAAAGGAGGATGAGGTCAAAGATGAAAGCACTGCATTGCACCTTGAGATGAAAATGCCAGAAGCTGAAATCAAACTCAGCAAGGAACCAGATTCTGAATATTCCATTATCAAAGTCAAAACTCCTGAGACAGACCTTCAAACATCTACAATAGGAACTTTAACTTCAGGAAAAATGGCAGAGGTACCATCAGTTGACATTAAAGGAGCAGGTATGGACATTGATGTCCAAGCTGTTGATGTCGGGAGATTCAAAATGCCAACATTAAAATTCCCTAAATTTGAAGCAGCTTCTCCAAATGTCACATTAGAGGTACCTTATGTGGAAAAGGACATCAAGGTTCATGGAACTGAAATACCTGAACCCAAGCTGACAATATCAGCAATTAACATTGAAAAGCCAAGCGTTGACCTTACAGGTCCATCTGTAGACGTGTATGTCAATAGTAAAAAACGCGAAATTGTCACTTTACCAGAAGTCAAAGTGGAGGTCCAACCAACAAGCGTTGAACTCAAAGTGCCTTCTGGTGAATTTGAAATACCTGAGGAAGCTGCTACTGAAGTTGATTTAAAAATGAAAAAGCCACGGCTGTCATTTGGATGGTTTTCAAAACCAGAAGCAAAAGCACCCGAGGTTGATGTCAGTCTTACAAAGGTGGATATTTTGCTTCCAGAAGGAAAGGTGGAGGTCAAAGAGCCAGATGTGGAAATTAAAGCTCCAGAAGTTCAAATTGGAATAAAACATGATATTGAGCTTGAGGGACAAGGAAGGACTTTTAAATTAACAACATTTGGACTCTCATTGCCGAAAGTTAAAGGTCCTGAAATTGGCTTAAGTCTGTCAAAGACAGATGTAGATGTCGACTTACCAGAGGGAAGAGCAGACCTCCAACTACCTGATGTGGAAGTCGGAGTGGCCTCTGTCGAAGTTGAAATACCAGAATCAGGATCTAAAGATATTGATGTGAAAATGAAAAAAGCCACGAATGTCATTCCCCAAATTTGGATTTTCAAAACCAGAAGCGAAAGCACCTGAAGTTGATATCAATCTTCCAGAGGTGGATATTTCTCTTCCAGAGGGAAAGGTGGAGGTCAAAGAGCCAGAGGTGGAAATGAAAACTCCAGAGATTCAAGTTGATGTGAAAGATACCATAGGCTCCCCTCAAGATTCAAAATGCCAACTTTAAAATTCCCTAAGTTTGGAGCAGCTTCTCCAAATGTCACAATAGAGGTACCTGATTTGGACAAGGACATCAAGGTTCATGGAACTGAAATACCTGAACCCAAGCTGACAATATCAGCAATTAACATTGAAAAGTCAAGTGTTGACCTTAAAGGTCCATCTATAGATGTCGATGTCAATCTTAAAAAACATGAAATTGTCACTTTACCAGAGGTCAAAATGGAGGTCCAACCACCTAGCATTGAACTCAAAGTGCCTTCTGGTGAAGTTGAAATACCTGAGGGAGCTGCTACAGAAATTGATGTAAAAATGAAAAAGCCACGGATGTCATTTGGATGGTTTTCAAAACCAGAAGTGAAAGCACCCGAGGTTGATGTCAGTCTTACAAAAGTGGATATTTTGCTTCCAGAAGGAAAGGTGGAGGTCAAAGAGCCAGAGGTGGAAATGAATACTCCAGAGATTCAAGTTGATGTGAAAGATACCGTAGGCTCACCCTCAAGATTCAAAATGCCAACTTTAAAATTCCCTAAATTTGGAGCGGCTTCTCCAAATGTCACAATAGAGGTACCTGATTTGGACAAGGACATCAAGGTTCATGGAACTGAAATACCTGAACCAAAGCTGACAATATCAGCAATTAACATTGAAAAGTCAAGTGTTGACCTTAAAGGTCCATCTATAGATGTCGATGTCAATCGTAAAAAACGTGAAATTGTCACTTTACCAGAGGTCAAAATGGAGGTCCAACCACCTAGCATTGAACTCAAATTGCCTTCTGGTGAAGTTGAAATACCTGAGGGCGCTGCTACAGAAATTGATGGAAAAATGAAAAAGCCACGGATGTCATTTGGATGGTTTTCAAAACCAGAAGCAAAAGCACCCGAGGTTGATGTCAGTCTTACAAAGGTGGATATTTTGCTTCCAGAAGGAAAGGTGGAGGTCAAAGAGCCAGAGGTGGAAATGAATACTCCAGAGATTCAAGTTGATGTGAAAGATACCGTAGGCTCACCCTCAAGATTCAAAATGCCAACTTTTAAATTCCCTAAATTTGGAGCAGTTTCTCCAAATGTCACAGTAGAGGTACCTGATTTGGAGAAGGACATCAAGGTTCTTGGAACTGAAATACCTGAACCCAAGCTGACAATATCAGCAATTAACATAGAAAAGCCAAGCGTTGACCTTAAAGGTCAATCTATAGATGTCGATGTCAATCTTAAAAAACATGGAATTGTCACTTTACCAGAGGTCAAAATGGAGATCCAACCACCTAGCATTGAACTCAAAGTGCCTTCTGGTGAAATTGAAATACCTGAGGGCGCTGCTACAGGAATTGATGTAAAAATGAAAAAGCCACGGATGTCATTTGGATGGTTTTCAAAACCAGAAGTGAAAGCACCCGAGGTTGATGTCAGTCTTACAAAAGTGGATATTTTGCTTCCAGAAGGAAAGGTGGAGGTCAAAGAGCCAGATGTGGAAATGAAATCTCCAGAAGTTCAATTAGAAATGAAACATGATATTGAGCTTGAGGGACAAGGAAGTAAATTACCAAAATTTGGACTCTCATTGCCGAAAGTTAAAGGTCCTGAAATTGGCTTAAATCTGTCAAAGACAGATGTAGATGTCGACTTACCAGAGGGAAGAGCAGACCTCCAACTACCTGATGTGGAAGTCGGTGTGCCCTCTGTCGAAGTTGAAATACCAGAAGCAGGTTCTAAAGATATTGATGTGAAAATGAAAAAGCCACAAATGTCATTCCCCAAATTTGGATTTTCAAAACCAGAAGTGAAAGCACCTGAGGTTGATATCAATATCCCAGAGGTGGATATTTCTCTTCCAGAGGGAAAGGTGGAAGTCAAAGAGCCAGAGGTGGAAATGAATACTCCAGAGATTCAAGTTGATGTGAAAGATACCGTAGGCTCACCCTCAAGATTCAAAATGCCAACTTTTAAATTCCCTAAATTTGGAGCAGTTTCTCCAAATGTCACAATAGAGGTACCTGATTTGGAGAAGGACATCAAGGTTCTTGGAACTGAAATACCTGAACCCAAGCTGACAATATCAGCAATTAACATAGAAAAGCCAAGCGTTGACCTTAAAGGTCAATCTATAGATGTCGATGTCAATCTTAAAAAACATGGAATTGTCACTTTACCAGAGGTCAAAATGGAGATCCAACCACCTAGCATTGAACTCAAAGTGCCTTCTGGTGAAATTGAAATACCTGAGGGCGCTGCTACAGGAATTGATGTAAAAATGAAAAAGCCACGGATGTCATTTGGATGGTTTTCAAAACCAGAAGTGAAAGCACCCGAGGTTGATGTCAGTCTTACAAAGGTGGATATTTCGCTTACAGAAGGAAAGGTGGAGGTCAAAGAGCCAGATGTGGAAATGAAAGCTCCAGAGGTTCAAGTAGAAATGAAACATGATATTGAGCTTGAGGGACAAGGAAGTAAATTACCAACATTTGGACTCTCATTGCCGAAAGTTAAAGGTCCTGAAATTGGCTTAAGTCTGTCAAAGACAGATGTAGATGTCGACTTACCAGAGGGAAGAGCAGACCTCCAACTACCTGATGTGGAAGTCGGTGTGCCCTCTGTCGAAGTTGAAATACCAGAAGCAGGTTCTAAAGATATTGATGTGAAAATGAAAAAGCCACAAATGTCATTCCCCAAATTTGGATTTTCAAAACCAGAAGTGAAAGCACCTGAGGTTGATATCAATATCCCAGAGGTGGATATTTCTCTTCCAGAGGGAAAGGTGGAAGTCAAAGAGCCAGAGGTGGAAATGAATACTCCAGAGATTCAAGTTGATGTGAAAGATACCGTAGGCTCACCCTCAAGATTCAAAATGCCAACTTTTAAATTCCCTAAATTTGGAGCAGCTTCTCCAAATGTCACAATAGAGGTACCTGATTTGGACAAGGACATCAAGGTTCATGGAACTGAAATACCTGAACCCAAGCTGACAATATCAGCAATTAACATAGAAAAGCCAAGTGTTGACCTTAAAGGTCCAATCTATAGATGTCGATGTCAATCTTAAAAAACATGGAATTGTCACTTTACCAGAGGTCAAAATGGAGATCCAACCACCTAGCATTGAACTCAAAGTGCCTTCTGGTGAAATTGAAATACCTGAGGGCGCTGCTACAGGAATTGATGTAAAAATGAAAAAGCCACGGATGTCATTTGGATGGTTTTCAAAACCAGAAGTGAAAGCACCCGAGGTTGATGTCAGTCTTACAAAGGTGGATATTTCGCTTACAGAAGGAAAGGTGGAGGTCAAAGAGCCAGATGTGGAAATGAAAGCTCCAGAGGTTCAAGTAGAAATGAAACATGATATTGAGCTTGAGGGACAAGGAAGTAAATTACCAACATTTGGACTCTCATTGCCGAAAGTTAAAGGTCCTGAAATTGGCTTAAGTCTGTCAAAGACAGATGTAGATGTCGACTTACCAGAGGGAAGAGCAGACCTCCAACTACCTGATTTGGAAGTCGGAGTGTCCTCTGTCGAAGTTGAAATACCAGAAGCAGGTTCTAAAGATATTGATGTGAAAATGAAAAAGCCACGAATGTCATTCCCCAAATTTGGATTTTCAAAACCAGAAGTGAAAGCACGTGAGGTTGATATCAATCTTCCAGAGGTGGATATTTCTCTTCCAGAGGGAAAGGTGGAAGTCAAAGAGCCAGAGGTTGAAATGAAAACCCCAGAGATTAAAGTTGATGTGAAAGATACCGTAGGCTCACCCTCAAGATTCAAAATGCCAACTTTAAAAATCCCTAAATTTGGAGCAGCTTCTCCAAATGTCACAATAGAGGTACCTGATTTGGACAAGGACATCAAGGTTCATGGAACTGAAATACCTGAACCCAAGCTGACAATATCAGCAATTAACATAGAAAAGCCAAGTGTTGACCCTAAAGGTCCATCTATAGATGTCGATGTCAATCGTAATAAACGTGCAATTTTCACTTTACCAGAGGTCAAAATGGAGGTCCAACCACCTAGCATTGAACTCAAATTGCCTTCTGGTGAAGTTGAAATACCTGAGGGAGCTGCTACAGAAATTGATGGAAAAATGAAAAAGCCACGGATGTCATTTGGATGGTTTTCAAAACCAGAAGTGAAAGCACCCGAGGTTGATGTCAGTCTTACAAAGGTGGATATTTCGCTTCCAGAAGGAAAGGTGGAGGTCAAAGAGCCAGATGTGGAAATGAAATCTCCAGAAGTTCAAATGGGAATGAAACATGATATTGAGATTCAGGGACAAGGAAGTAAATTTAAATTACCAAAATTTGGATTCTCATTGCCGAAAGTCAAAGGTCCTGAAATTGGCTTAAGTCTGTCAAAGACAGATGTAGATGTCGACTTACCAGAGGGAAGAGCAGACCTCCAACTACCTGATGTGGAAGTCGGTGTGCCCTCTGTCGAAGTTGAAATACCAGAATCAGGTTCTAAAGGTATTGATGTGAAAATGAAAAAGCCACGAATGTCATTCCCCAAATTTGGATTTTCAAAACCAGAAGTGAAAGCACGTGAGGTTGATATCAATATTCCAGAGGTGGATGTTTCTCTCCCAGAGGGAAAGGTGGAGGTCAAAGAGCCAGAGGTGGAAATGAAAACTCCACATATTCAAGTTGATGTGAAAGATACCATAGGCTCCCCCTCAAGATTCATAATGCCAACTTTTAAATTCCCTAAATTTGGAGCATCTTCTCCAAATGTCAAAATACAGGTATCTGATTTGGAGAAGGACATCAAGGTTCATGGAACTGAAATACCCAAGGTGACAATATCAGCAATTAACATTGAAAAGCCAAGTGTTGACCTTAAAGGTACATCTATAGATGCCGATGTCAATCGTAAAAAACTTGAAATTTTCACTTTACCAGAGATCAAAACGAAGGTCCAACCACCTAGCATTGAACTCAAAGTGCCTTCTGGTGAAGTTGAAATACCTGAGGGAGCTGCTACAGAAATTGATGTAAAAATGAAAAAGCCACGGATGTCATTTGGATGGTTTTCAAAACCAGAAGTGAAAGCACCCGAGGTTGATATCAGTCTTCCAGAGGTGGATATTTCTCTTCCAGAGGGAAAGGTGGAGGTCAAAGAGCCAGAGGTGGAAATGAAAACTCCAGAGAGTCAAGTTGAAATGAAAAATGAAGCTTCATCAGTTGATGGAAAACTAGAAACACCAGACATGGAGGCTAAAACAAATGAAATAGGGGTGAAGAAACCACTGATATCTTTTCCAAAAATAGTTTTTTCAAGATCTGAAATGACAGCTCCTGAGATTGGTGTGATTCCTCCAAATGCAGACATTTCCCTCCCAGAGGGAAAAGTGGTCAAAGTGCCTGAGGTGAAAATTAAAGCTCCAGAGATTGAAGTTGACATAAAAGACGTTGTTGGCTCTCCCTCAAGATTCAAAATGTCGACATTCAAATTCCCTAAATTTGGTGCAACTTCAAAGGTGGTTGTAGATGTCTCTGATAAAGAGAAGGATATTGACGTGCCTGGGGTAGAAATTCTAGATCAAGTACTAGGAGCTTCATTTCCAGTTGATTTAACAGAACCCGGTGATACAGTTGACCTTAAAGGATGTAGTGAAGTTCAGCTACATGTTGCTGGATCTGAAAGGCCCTCAGTTGAAGAAGGAATGGCAATAGCCGATGTGGATGTTCATGATGTTGACATTTCAAAACTGACAATTGATGATAAAGGCCATGGCTCACCCAGGAAAGGTCAAGGCTCACCCAGCAAAGGTCAAGGCTCACCTAGTAAATTCAAACTTCCGACCTTCAAAATGCCCAGATTGAGCAGTTCAAAATCCAACCTAAGAATGAACATGAACATGATGATATATGTCCAAATGTTATTTTGGATAATTATGAAATTCAAGTGGAACCACAAGGTCCAGAGAAATCACCAAAGTTGACTTTGGCAACATTTGGGGAGGTATTAAGAAGCATTGATGTTGAATTTGATGTCCCCACATTAGAGGATGTGGAAGAGAAGCTCACAGGCTCAAGGGAAGAAATAACAGCCTCAAGAAAAACCGAACTAAATGCTCAACCCAGTGCTGAAACCCAGTCTGTGCATGAAGAGGAAGAAGCGAAAGAAAAATCCAAATTTGTCTGGTTTAAGTTTCCCACATTTGGACTATCTTCTCCTTCAGAATCTGCCAAGATTTTAGAAAAAGAAACTTCTGAAAAAGATGCAAGTGAGAAAAGCCCTGCAGGTGACTCTGTGGAACAAGACGCCAGCTTGACCTTCTCAGTGCAGTCATCGGATGCTTTTGCAGATATCAGTTCTACAGTTACAAGCGAACAAGTTGGTCCGTCATTGGCCTTTCCAACCAAAGTCACAGTGAAATACTCTGACCCTATTGCCACTGAGATACAGGGTAATATCATTACCTCCACAGCAAGGACAAAAATGATCTCTTTTGAACCCTACTTGGCAGAGAAAGTCACCATTCCAATGTCCTCTGGAGCTTCCTCCTCATCAGTGGACACCCTAAAACTGGAGTCTGGTACACATATCATCACATCCAATATACAAGCAATACCAGACACACAGAAGGCCACACTCTTAACAGATTTTGGATTGCAGACAGGGACCGCCGGAGCTTCCTATGCATCTTGGTCAGTGGACGACACCAACAAAATAAAGAGTGATGGGCAAACAGTTATTAAGAGGCATGTAGTTAGGAAAATGTCAGGCACTGACAGGGAAACGGTTGTCATAACTCGAAGGGCTGAGCCCATCTCAGATGAAACAGCCTCATCTATCAAACAGATGAAAGAAACTATGCACTCAGAAAAAATGAAATTTTTCGATGGGGCTGAATTGGAGTGACTTGGAGGAATATGATAAATCCCTCAATTGAGGAGTAATTTCAGTCAGATTATTATTGTTCTCTTAATAATGAATTGTGCTTTCATTTATGACAGAGTTTTAATATATACAGTTAAATGTTTACTTAGTACACACTATATACATACACACGTTTGTGGACATGCCCATGATACAGGTAGGGATGTTAAAGCCAACTTTGTCACTTCATTGTAATTACTACCATTGAGACCATTTTACTGAATTTGCTGTTTAAACAGATCTCTGCAGGTTGTCCTGCTGTACATATAATGGAGAGAAACTTGTTAATCCACTGCCATATGCATTGATAAATTACCTCAGATTTCTGCTCTTTATTCCATTTCTGGGCAGCCATATATAAATATAAGGTATCAATGATTCTGACTCTGAAAATATGTTTACAATTATTTAACTGTAAAACCATACAAAATAGTTAATGAATACGTAATGATATACATACAAACCATGCAACATTAATAGAACAAAAACACAGAACACATAAGGAAGTATTGCAATCTAAACACTTATTACACTCTAAAAAGAAAAGGTTCCTGGAGTGTCCTTTATGGGTTCTTCAAATTTAAACTGTGGGGGAACCCTTATAAGTTCTTGGAAGAACCCTCAAAGGATCCTCAAAGAACCTTTTGAATAACCTTTTGGGGTAAAAATGTTAACTACCCCCCTTCTTATTATTATTATTAATAATATGCATAACAATAACAACAATAACACAATATTTTAGTTGTCAGTGTTTATTATGATTTTAGTGGTAAAGCAGAATAAAAAAATCCAAATATGAGGTAAACTCCCAGCAGAGCCCCAAGTCCAATGGGTATATCCTCTGGTGTGTTGATGTTCATGTGTTGATGTTCTCTGTATCCATAGCCAGAATGATTTTGCAGTGCATGGTGATTGAACAGGTTTCCTGTTATATTCATCAGAGGTATAGGGAGGGTGAAGTTTGTGAATCGCAAAAATTGTAATTATACAGATGATTAACAAAACATGCACACAACAGAATTCATATCTTGGTTTCTGTGGTGAATGTGAATGAAAAAAACGGTTTTGATAATGGTTTTCATACACATACCTTCTCCATAATGTAGAGGCCTATGGGATATTAATTGAAGAGGTAAGGGAGGAGGATGATAAATGTGATCAGCATAACATACCAATACCAATTGACATACCTTTGTATGCATCCTCGTCTGTATATCTGCGGACACAGACACAAAAGTGAGCAGTTCAGTCATCTGCATCCAATACAGCTAGCCTTCAACATATTCTTATAGCCTACATATTCTTAGCTCTTTGTTGATTGATATCCATTGAATTGTGTCCATTTTCTGTTTTAGAAAGATTTGCACAAATATAAAAAGATAGATGGTATCATCATAAAACAATATCAATTTAGATCATACAAGGGACAAACCTTACCTTAAATTTAGGAGATCTTTACATTTTTCAGTTAAGTTTCTGCACCTGCTGTCCTTTCAAATCCAAATGTTTTAGTTGGGCAGTTAGGTTCCTGCAAGAACCCCTACCAGCTAAGGAGGTTCCTCGATGAACCCCACCTCCTATGGGGTTCTTGGAAGAACCTTTTGGGTGCAATTTTCAGTGCCAAGAACCCTAAGGTTCTTCGAAGAACTTTGAGGATCTTAGAAGAACCCTTGTTGAACCCCTAATTTTTAGAGTGTACCATTAAATATATGTTGCTAAAATGTAATGCTTGTAATCATAGTAAAAAGTAAGAAAAATAAATTGATGAAAATATATTTTGATGAAAATTATGCATAGATGCCTAGATTATGCATATAGTAATGTATACTGTACCCAACAAAAACATTTCTGGATTTGTGTAAATAGTTGATTTTAATCACTTATTTTGCAGAGTTACTTTGATTGTTGCTCTTATTCTCCACTGATGTAATCAATGTATTTGCAAAACTATACATAATAAATCTAAAATATTAAAAAGTGCATTTCCTTACTGCAATATGTATCTACATTTAATGTCACTCAGATGTCTGGTACCTTCTCCACAGACATGTCATACACTGCAACCTAGCAGTGAGCTAGTTTCTATAGCAGGGTACTTGTCAGGATGTCAGTGTGATGCGGTAGGACGAAGTCAGGCGCAGGACACAGAGCTAATCGAAAACTTACTTTACTCGTAGGTAACATAAATAACATAACCTCCACGCAAGGAGGAAACAAACCCACTCACCAGACGACAACCAAACATGAACAAACACGCACAACATACAGTGGGAGCCAGAGGGTTAAATAGGGAAGTAATCGATACCTAATGGGAACCAGTTGTGAACAATAAAGACAAGACAAGTAGAACACAGAAACATAGATCGGCAGCAGCTAGTACTCCGGTGACGACGAACGCCAAAGCCTGCCCGAGCAAGGAGGAGGAGCAGCCTCGGCTGAATCCGTGACAGTACCCCCCGTTGACCTCGGGGACGGCCAGGAGGACGCGGCGCAGGGCGATTCGGATGACGACGATGGAAATCCCTCAACATGGAGGGATCGAGGATGTCCCTCCTAGGGACCCAGCACCGTTCCTCCGGACTGTACCCCTCCCACTCCACGAGATACTGCAGGCCCCCCACCCGACGCCTCAAATCCAGGATGGACCGGACCGAGTACGCCGGTGCCCCCTCGATGTCCAGTGGGGGCGGAGGAACCTCCCGTACCTCAGACTCCTGGAGTGGACCAGCTACCACCAGCCTGAGGAGAGACACATGGAACGAGGGGTTAATACGGTAATTCAGAGGAAGCTGTAACCTATAACAAACCTCGTTCAATCTCCTCAGGACTTTAAATGGCTCCACAAACCGCCGACCCAGCAGGGCAGGTGAAGGGGCAGGTTTCGGGTCGAGAGCCAGACCCGGTCCCCCGGTGCACACACCGGGGCCTCACTGCGGTGGCGGTCGGCGCTCGCCTTTTGTCGCCTGATGGCCCGCTGCAGGCGTACATGGGCAGCGTTCCAGGTCTCTTCCGAGTGCCGAAACCACTCATCCACCGCAGGAGCCTCGATCTGGCTCTGATGCCAAGGTGCCAGGACCGGCTGATAACCTAACACACACTGAAAGGGAGAAAGGTTAGTGGATGAGTAGCGGAGTGAGTTTTGGGCCATCTCTGCCCAGGGGATAAAACCCGACCACTCCCTCGGCCGGTCCTGGCAATAGGACCGCAGAAACCTACCCACATCCTGGTTAACTCTCTCCACCTGCCCATTACTCTCGGGGTGAAAACCTGAGGTCAGGCTGATCGAGACACCCAGACGTTCCATGAACGCCCTCCAGACCCTTGAGGTGAACTGGGGACCCCGATCCGATACAATATCCTCAGGCACCCCGTAGTGCCGGAAGACATGTGTAAATAGGGCCTCAGCAGTTTGTAGGGCTGTAGGGAGACCTGGCATAGGAATGAGACGGCATTCTGGGCAGGTGTCTAGGTGCCTTACACTGGGCGCACCCCGAGCATTAGGAAACGTAAACCCTCACGTCTTTGGCTAAAGTGGGCCACCAGTACTTCCCACTAAGACAGTGCACTGTCCGACCGATGCCAGGATGACCAGAGGAGGGTGACGTGTGAGCCCAATAGATCAATCGATCACGAACCTCGAGCGGCACGTACATACGACCCTCTGGACACTGGGGGGGGAGTAAAAGGAAGGGTGTTTAGCCCCCTCAAGCCAATGCCTCCACACTTTCAGAACCTTAACCACAGCTAACAGCTCCCGGTCCCCCACATCATAGTTGCGCTCCGCCGGACTGAGCTTCTTAGAAAAGAAAGCACAGGGGCGGAGCTTTGGTGGTGTACCCGAGCGCTGAGACAGTACAGCTCCTATCCCAGCCTCGGACGCGTCCACCTCAACCTGGAATGCTAAGGAGGGATCCGGATGACCCAGCACTGGAGCCGAGGTAAACAGGTCCTTCAGATGACCAAAAGCCCTGACCGCCTCAGCTGACCACTGCAGTCGCACCGGTCCCCCCTTCAGCAAGGAGGTAATGGGAGCCGCTACCTGACCAAAGCCCCGGTTAAACCTCCGGTAATAGTTGGCAGAACCCATAAATCGCTGCACCTCCTTCACCGTGGTTGGAGTCGGCCAATTACGCACGGCCGAAATGCGGTCAATCTCCATCTCCACCCCTGACGCGGACAGGCGGTGCCCTAGGAAGGAGATGGACTTTTGGAAGAACAGACTTTGTTCGCCTTCACATACAGGTCATGCTCCAACAGTCGACCAAGCACTTGACTCACCAGGGACACATGCTCGGCCCATGTAGCGGAGTATATGAGAATGTCATCAATATACACCACTACACCCTGTCCGTGCAGGTCCCTGAAAAATCTCATCCACAAAGGATTGGAAGACTGATGGAGCATTCATCAACCCGTAAGGCATGACGAGGTACTCATAGTGCCCAGAGGTGGTACTGAATGCTGTCTTCCACTCATCTCCCTCCCGGATACGCACCAGGTTGTACGCGCTGCTGAGATCCAATTTTGTGAAGAAGCGTGCCCCGTGCAATGACTCCGTCATACTAGCAATGAGCGGTAGTGGATAACTGTACTTGATAGTGATCTGATTGAGACCCCGGTAGTCAATGCACGGGCGTAAACCTCCATCCTTCTTCTTCACAAAAAAGAAACTTGAGGAGACAGGTGAAGTGGATGGCCGAATGTATCCCTGCCCCAGAGATTCGGAGACATATGTCTCCATAGCTGCCGTCTCTTCCTGTGACAGGGGATATACGTGACTCCGGGGAAGTGCAGCGCCTACCTGGAGATTTATCGTACAATCCCCCTGTCGATGGGGTGGTAATTGAGTCGCCTTCTTTTTACAGAAGGCGAGAGACAAATCGGCATAGTCGGGGGGAATGTGCATGATGGAGACCTGGTTTGGACTCTCCACCGTAGTTGCCCCTATGGAAACACCTACACACCTCCCCGAGCACTGACTT